AGAAACCGTCTCTCACACACGGTATCTCCAAAGGCTGTGAGTGGGGCGCCGTCCCTGGCCCCACCTTGCTCGCTCTGCCACCCCCCACTCCGGGTACCCCCACCGGTGACACCCGTCCCACACTGGTTCCTTGGGTCGCAGGCAGGTGACCCCTTCCCTGCTCTGGTCCTCCAGCATCCCACCACCTCGGGATCTGCTGGCACCTGGGTGATCCCAGCTGTACCCTGGCATCCCTCTACTCCAGGATCTGCTGGCCCCTGGGGTATTCTTCCATGGGACCATTCTCCCCCTGCACTGACCGATCCCTGCCTAGCACCATTCTCCCTGCACACCACTGTACACTCCCCTCCAAGGCATCAACTGGCAGATGTCGTGCAGCTAAGCCCCATAGCTCTACTCTGTTCTTTCCTGCCCGAGCTGGCCACCTTGGGGCCCCTTAGAGCCCCTAAAATGCCAGGCACATGACTCAGTTACTCTGCTCTGCTTCTGCCAGGCTGGGGGCCTCCCCCAGAGGGGAGCACAACCCCTGCAAGCACCACAAAGCTTGGCCCAATACCCCCATCTCAGCAGGACCTTCCCCCTTGGCCTCAGAGGTCCCACGCACAGGTTTGCTGCCTCTCCTTCTGCTCCCCTGCTCCTAGATGGGGTAATGAGGTGTTAAGGATGCTTAAAAAGCAGAAAAAGGGGTGCTGGAGGGGAAAGTGCCCTGATCTTAGACCCATCACTTGCCTCTGAGCCAGGCTCCCTGGATAGGAGCAGGGCAGAGGGAAGCCAGGACATCCTGGAACAAGGACCAGGGGACGGAGAGCAGAAGTCGCCCAGAAGCAGGAATTGATGCTGGAGCAATTCCTCCCCTGAGTGCAGCTTCCTGCCCTGTCCTGGTGTCCTTCCATCCCCCCATTTACCCCACAGGAAGAGGGGACAGTCTGGGGGGTAGGATCTCCATCCAGGCAGGGCCACCTTGTCACCCAGGCACTGTTGGGGACTGAGGAAGGGGCCGAGGGGGTGTCTGCTCCCCACTGCAATCTGACCCTGCTGCCACCTCCTTTCCCAGGGTTGACTCCTCCAAAATAATCTGGCGCCGTCCTTCACTCTCACACATCTCCTCTGTCTTCCTCTGAAAAATGAGGAGTTTGTCGCCGGATTCTCACCACCAGCCACTCTGTGTGCGGGAGGGCAGCCGCAATGGCCCCAGTCAGCAGCACAAATAAATGGCCCGAAACACGATACGCGGGAGCTCCCTGGGATAAAAGAATTTCTAAGGAGAGGTTTTATTTTCCCCTCAGAGCCCCAGTCTCTCGTGATCTGGTCTGAACACAAAGACTGTCCTGAATTTCCAGTCTCACTTTCTCTCCTGGCAGCTGGTGAGCTGGGTGATGCTTTGAGGCACCCTGTCCCTTGTGCTGGTTCCTGTGGTGGTGGCAG